AAATAAAATTTTTAAAGGTTATTAAAATAAAAATGGATGAATACTATCTTTTAAAAAAATTTGACAGGGCACCTGGGTGGCTCAGTCAGTTAAGCATCCGACTTCAGCCTAGGTCATGATTTTGTGGTTCATGGGTTCGAGCCCCGCATCAGGCTCTGTGCTAACAGCTTGGAGCCTGGAGCCTGCTTCTGATTCTGTGTCTCCCTCTCTCTCTGCCCCGCCCCCGCTCATGCTCTGTCTCTCTCTTTCAAAAATAAAAAAACATTAAGAAAAATTTTAAAAAAATGACAACGGACTCCAGATTTAACAAATATTACATAACATTTAAAAATTATATTTTTAAACAGCCTAACTGCTTCAGGATTGTATTAATCAGCTGTGGCTACCATAATAAAATATCACATACTGGGTGGATTAAACAACAGAAATTTATTCGCTCACCATTCTGGAGGTCAGCAGTCCAAGATCAGGACTGATTTCTGGTAGAAATTTCCTGGCCTGCAGACTGGTGACTTCTCCTCCCTGTGTCCTTACAGGGCCTTTCCTCCGTGCACACAAGAGAAGGGGGTGGGGAGAGATCTGGTGTCACTTCCTCTTCTAAGGATACCAGTCCTACTGAGTCAGGGCTCCATCCTTATGACCTCATTTAACCTTAATTACCTCCTTAAAGGCTTTACTATTAAATGTAGTCACTTTGAGAATTAGGGCTTCAACATTTGAATTGGGGGGAAGGGAGGGCCACAATTCAGTCTGTAACAAGGATTCTCTGGAGAAAGTCTTCATACTTCAGGGGCTCCCAAATCTTCAATCCTCTCTCACTTTAATCTCCCAGAAGATATAGGCATGCAAATTACAACTCAATGACTAAATTGTGTTGTGTGTGTGTGTGTGTGCGCGCACGCGTAAGAGGTCCAATTAAGTCCTATTTTCCCTTTACGTTTTAAACTTTAAATTGATAAAAAAAACTCAGCATACATGTAAACTCAACACTTAGGAGCTGATGTTCTGACAGTTCAAATGGTACAGATGACAGCCAGCCCGAGCAGCCGGGCTAGAAATGCAGCCTGGGGGGCTGTCAAGTGCATCCCTTCTGCCTCGTGCATGACACAGCTCCTAACTGCTCATTTCATCCTCTGCGATATGTGGTTCAACAGTTTAACATTCGGAAATAACTTCATTTGTTTATACGTATTTGTGAAAGGAAAAAGAAGTCTGTTTCAACTTGGTTAAAACTCTAGGTTTCAGAAACCTGAGAATCAGTAAAGACAGTTTTAAAAAATGAAGCATGAGAAACAGATGACAATAAAGGGAGTCCTGAAGAGTTTCATGTCACGAAAGTTGTATTCAAGGAGATTCAGAGTTTCTTCCAACTCTATGTTTTCCCTTTAGTTCCTTTCTGGAAAAGGAGTACATTGTCTGCCTGCTCTTTGGAGGTCACAAAAAACAGTTTTAGGGGCACCTGGGTGGCTCTGTCGGTTGAGCGTCCAACTTCGGCTGGGGTCATGATCTCGCGGCTTGTGGGTTCAGATTCTTCAGATTCTGTGTCTCCCTCTCTCTCTGACCCTCACCCATTCACACTCTGTCTCTCTCTCCCTTAAGAATAAATAAACATTAAAACATTTTTTAAAGTTTTAATTTTATTATAATGTTTGTCATTTCTTCTATTTTAATTTTTGCTGTTACACATAAGCTGAGAAGAAAGACTAACAGGGGCGCAATTCCCCCAAATTTGGCTGCTTATGTCTCTATTTGGGTTTTCAAAACAATCCTTACAAAATTAATATATTTGGTTTCACTGTTGAATAAATTTGTATTTCTTTATTCAGTGGAAAAGACACTGTAACTACGCAGAGTTGGACTCAGGGGGTCTCCCGCTTCAAGAAGCAGGCAGTCTAACCATAAACATACAAATAACAGTTATTGGAATACATGCGGATAGGGGCCAATGTAAAGACACACAGTTCTTGTGCTATAAAGCCTAAAATGAAGGTCCATTATTAGGTACTGCCTTGCCATCTGGGAAAACCAGTAGGGCCTCCATGTCCTAACTGCAAATTGCCCTCCCCGTTCTGCTTGTGCAGGTAAGGTCCCGGGCCAAACGACCCTCTCTAGCACCAGGGAATGGGCCCAGTTCCAGATCACCCCTGTGTAGTGGGTCTCCATACTCTGCCAGCCAATGGAGCTCATCTGTCCAATATCAGGTATTCTGTGTTCGACCTCCCCATAACCCCGGGAAGGAAATCCCTCCTTCAACAAGTGAACAGGAGGCCATCAAATCAGTCCCTGTTGCTGCCTAGTTGCGTCTGCACTGCAAAGATAAATTATTTATCTTCCACATGCACAAATCCAAATCTCATCCAAGCCGTTCTTCTAACGTTTAGTTGGAATTCTAAAATAAGAAGCTGTCTGGTTTGACTGGCACAGACTGGGGGCACCTTTCTGAAACATTTAACGTCTAGAGGCAGGTCTCCAGTGGCCTCAGGGCTGTTTTTACTCTTTCTGCTCCCAGGCATGAAACCCTAACAGCTAAAGGGAATGTACATTACATTACAGGCACTCAGTCATTACAACCACCCTAAAAATATCGGCACTATTTTTATCCCCTTTCTACAGGTGACTAGATGAAGCCAGAGAGGTTAAGGAACTTGCCTGACATTGTTAAATTGTTAAATTAACATTTGTTAAGTGGAGCTTGGGGCTCTTCTGGACTGTGAGCCAAAGTTCAACAATAGACCACAAAAGACCTTCAAATAGAACAGTTAATTACTCCTAAAGCCTGGAGGAAGTATACAGCATGCCTCCAGGGGACACAGAAGGTGGTCAACGCAGAGTGCAGATAGAGAGACAGGACCTGGGGTGGTTGCTTTTATTAGGGTCTGTATTGCTTTGGAGTCTTAAGGTTAGGGCCAAATGGGCCATTTAAGCCAGAAGAGTGGGGCTTTGGTAAGCCCCACGAGGATCTTATCTAAGGGACCTATAGGGCCTACAGGCACTGGGAGGCAGAGGAGACGGTTGATCACAAGGACTACTGGGGAAGTCCTATCAGGAACTTAACATTTGCTTGTGACTCTCTATGGGCTGCTATCAAGGGCATGTGCTTGCAGGAAGGAGCCAGTGTAAGTCCCTGGAGGCCACTTGGCCAAACCAAACAGCAGGACCATGGGGTAGATTAGCTAAACTCCAGACACTCAAGGCCACACAGGTATTAAATGGCAAAGCAGGGCTTCCAACCCAGGCAGTCTGAATCCAGGGCCTATCTTCACTATGCTTTATTACCTCCCACTGCTGGAAGAAAAAGAATCATCAAGACTTTGCCCAACTGTTGCAATTTCAACCTAGCTCCCAATGCCTGTAATGTTTTTAAAATTTTTTAATTTAATTTAAAAAAATGTTAATGTTTATTTACTTTTGAGAAAGAGACAGAGCACGAGGGGGGGAGGGGCAGAGAGCGATGGAGACACAGAATCATAAGCAGGCTCCAGGCTGTCAGCACAGAGCCCGACACGGGCTTCGAACCCAAGGACCACAAGATCATGACCTGAGCAGAAGTCGGAAGCTTAACCCACTGAGCCACCCAGGTACCCCAAGTTTTTAAATTTTTTAAACACATTCAAAGCCCTTAGTAGGGTACCTGACACATTCAATAAACATTAGATACGAATACTTACACAGCAATAATTAAAACTCTTCCTTCTCCTTCTTAAACTACTTTCCCACTCACTTTTATTAGAGAAAAACTCATCTTACCCTCCTCTCATTTCTCAAGGTCAAGACCAAGACCACTTTTATTATTTTAAATGATTTTTAAATGTTTATTTATTTTTGAGAGAGCAAGAGAGCACGAGCAGGGGATGGGGCAGAGAGAGAGGGAGACGCAGAATCCAAAGCAGGCTCCGGGCTCCAGCTGTCAGCACAGGGCCCGACACGGGGCTGGAACCAAAAAACGGTGAGATCGTGACCTGAGCCAAAGTCTGACGCTTAACTGACTGCGCCATCCAGGCGCCCCCAAGACCACTTTTTTTCCCCCAAAGTTTTATTTCTGAGAGAGAGAAAGAGAGAGAGAGCGAGCAGGGGAGGATCGGAGTGGGGGAGATACAGAATCCTAAACAGGCTCCAGGCTCTGAGCTGGCTGTCAGCACAGAGCACGATGTGGGGCTCGAACCCACGAACGGTGAGATCATGACCTGAGCTGAAGTCAGACGTCCAACCGACTGAGCCACCCAGGCGCCCCCTCAAGACCACTTTTAACAAGGCTTTTTAGGTAGCCTCATCTCCAGTTAGCACATCACTTTTTCTACATTCATCCATCATGTCTTGGGAGGAAGATTTTTCTACTTTCCAATTTAAACCTGTAATCTCCAGGCACCCGGCTGGCCCTTAGAGCATGCAACTCTTGATCTTGGGGATGTGAGTTGGAGCCCTACATTGGACATAGAGGAGAGAGAGAGAGAGAGAGAGAGAGAGAGAGAGAGAAGGAGAAAGAGAGAGGCAGGGAGGAAGAAAAGCAACGTAATCTCAACCCTTCCCAAGTCCCTACAAAGAATTTCCATTTATATATCCTGTTATCATCTCAAACAGATCTGCTCGTTCAACACGCGATGGCTGAGCTCTAAGTGCTAGACATTGAATTCTGTAATGAATAAAATCCTCCTTTCCACGAATCCAGTCTAGTGGAGACTAAAAACATGCTCATGAGTGATAACACAACGCAAATCAATGCTATGCATATAATTCTGCGACCCTTGGCCAAGTCCGCCACCAGACCAGAGGTGGAAGGAGGTGGTGAGAGACCAGGGCACTGGAGGAGGGGACCCAAGGATGAGAGTGGAATAAAGGAGAAAAGGTGCGAATAAGGGGCTGTCATGGACAGAATGAAGAAGGGGGAAACTGGCGCAAGGAAGGGAGAAGCGAGAAAAGCGCGAACGCTAAGAAGCAAGATGAATGATGAAGACCCTGAAGACGGGCTCCTCCCCGCGAAGGCGCGTCCGTGTCTCACTCACCTCCCTCTCCTTGTCCCGGAGGCCAGGCCACGGCCTGTGGGTCCCGGAGCGGCGCGGGGAGCGGCCGCGACAGGCAGAGGCGAAGGGGTGTCCCGCGGCGCAGAGGGCCGCTCCGGAGAACGTGACCGCTAACGGGATGGGCAGGGTCGGTCCCGGAACGCGGGGCTGAGGCCACTCCGTGGGGGGCTCGGGCTATTCTCGGCTATTCCGAGAGGGCGAGCGCGAGCGCGAGCGACGGCCCCGCGGGGCCCCGTGGTGGATTTTCTGTGGTCAGGACGCTTCCACGAACTGCGACCCTTCCCCGCGGAGCCCGGGGCCTCGCGTTCCGGATTGCAGAACGGGACACGGGGGCCATCGCTGCCGGGGAAGCAGGGAACTCTCTCACGAGCCTGGGAAATTCTCCGTGGCCGCGGCTCCCAGAAGTCACCTGCGCAACCTCCCAAAGCTGAGAAAAACTTAGAAATCGTTCCGGGTACGTCGGCAAAACCCTTCCCCAGGGCTACGTGGCGTCCAGCCGAAGGGAAAGGGGTGGTGTATCCGTGTAAATAAGCCGCCACTGCCACCGGCTCCGAGCGCCCATCCTTCCAGTTCCGCAGGCATCTCTCTCTCTCTCTCTCTCACCCCCCCTCTCCCCTCTCCCCCTTCTCCCCCCGTCCTGGTCTCATTTGGTTAGGAGACCATGTCTTTCTCAGCCGTATACATGAAATAGCTGAAGGGATGGGATGACGGACCACAGGATACATTTCACAGAATGGCCATATCAGCAACACAGTCTTGTGTTTCAGGTACTTTCTGCGCATACGTGAATGTAACATATTCTATAATATTGGGCGCTCAGTGTATCTCATGTGTGCATGTGTGTAGATGGATGGATACATAATAAATATGCATAGATATATGTGTATACATGTGCATGTATAACATATAGGAATGGCTCAAATAGAATTACATCTTTTTTCCCCCGTCGGATATCCTGAATTAAAAGAAAAATCTAAATGGGGGAATGGGAAGGAAAAGCACAAAGTATTCAAAGTATTTCCAGGCAGCTGACAGCGTGTTTAGTTTAGTGTTGTCATATTTAGCAAAAAGAAAAAATACAGTGGGCCCACTTACATGTGAATTTCAGATAAACAATGAACAATGTTTTAGTTTAAGTATGCCCCATACAGTAATAATACAGTATTAAATGACTATTTTTTGTTGAAGAGAAGGCCACCATTGTACCTCTGCCACCACCTCTAAATTTTATCCCTTATAGTTTTTCATTTGCTGTTTCAGAAGGGGGGGTGGTGGCAGCCCCTGGTATCTGCAAGGTGTCAGAGCGCTCAGGCCATGTTCTTCTGTTGGACATAAACTCACACAACATTAACCTAAGACCAAGTCACTAGGAGACTGATGAAGTAAGACAAAACAAGGCCAATTTATAATTTTGTCTAACCATAGCTTAAAAAGGTCACTGTGTCACTCAGAAAACGCCAAACGCCCCCTCTCTTAGCCAAAATGGGTGACTGCTACTTTATCAATTATAGCTTTATTCCTGCTCTCTTCTGCCCTCGCTATAGATAAGATGTATTGCACTGCCCAATCATACAATCTCCCCTGCATTCTGACAGCATCTGATCAGCATCTGATCTGACAGCGAACTCCCCCTTCCTCAGATCATCCCCCCTAAATCGCCCAAATAGTACAAAAGGTTTTCTAATGTCCCCTTGCCGAAACACCCCACACTTGCCTATGCTGTGTCTTCTCCCTCCCTGCAAAGAATAATGAACCCAACTTGTCGCTATGGGCATGTGCCTGGTGATCCTTGATTGAAAGGCCTGACATGTTCTGCTGCCTGGATTGTTTTTCACCAGGTATTTGCATAGCTCTTTCCCTTAGTTCATTCTGTTCTTTGCCCAGACCTCATCTTTTCAGAGGTGTTCCCCGACTACACTATTTACAATAGCACCCTCATTGTTCTCCATCCCTTTACGCTGTTTATTTTTCCTCACAGCACTCGTTACTATCTGATATTATACATTTAGGTAATATATACAAATATATTTATGGTATGTCTTTCCCATTTAGAGTCGAAGTTTCATGAAGACTGGGACTTCATCTTAAAGACTATATCCACACTGCCTACAACATTGCCTGGCACAGAATAGGTATTAAATGATATGTATGTAAGGAACATATGAACGAATGGATTTTTATTGTATCAGGGTTTATAACAGTGTCATTCTGTCACATATTCATAATCAACCTTGTTTGGTCTTAGTCCTCCCTTTAAATAGACTGGCTTGCTGCAAAATGTCCGTTATTAATTTTTTATTTTGACTCATTTCTTATTTGATTTGATTTCACATTGCTGAGTAATTTTTCACCAAGAAGTCATGAGGAGTATATTCCCTCAATTTTTGTTCATATTTGAAATACGCTACCTGGTGGTGCCGGTGGTGGTTGTTTTGTTTTTGGTAGATTGTATTGTGAGCAATTGTCCACTTTCTCTTTCTGAGTAGGAGGGTTCTCTATCCCTATCCAAATGACTTTAAGAGGTTTTAAGAAGAAAAAGAGAACCAGCAGTATCAAACATGTCACTTAAAGAAAAAATTGTTAGGATTAAGCACAAAAAGGGATAGAGATGAACAAGCAAATATATAGTTAGCACTTATTGGGTACCGGACACTCCTTCATTCAACATTAAGTAGCCATATCTATCTACCATTTATTAAAATTTTTTAATGTTTATTCATTTTTCAAGAAATAGCATGAGCAGGGGAGAGGCAGAGAAAGAAGGAGACAAAGAATTTGAAGCAGGCCCCAGGCTCTAAGCTGTTAGCACAGAGCCCGACGCAGGGCTTGAACCCGTGAACTGCAAGATCGTGACCTGAGCCAAAGTCAGAAGCTTAACTGACTGAGCCACCCAGGCGCCCCTACCATTCGTTAGATCAAGGCTGGCTCCACAAGGAAGTTACTGCTTGAATTGCATCTTTCTGGAAAACCAGGCACTTGCCAAATAACAGGACTGTTAAAGTACGTGGATATGAAAGGATTGGTTATTTCAAGTGCAAGGTTCTAGGCACGGACACGGAAGCAGTAAACAGCATGTCATATTTGGGAAACTGCAACTCAAAACAATTCTCTGGGAAGGTATTATTATCTCTATTTTACAGATGAATAATCAGGCTCAAGGTCACACAGCGATTGAGTGGCAATATCAGAATCCCAACCCATTCACATCGGCTCCTCTAGTCTTCGCTTCTCCCACTGTACCTTACTGTGGTTTCTTCTTAGACTTGCGCAGTGAGCTTACCAACTCTGTGAAGCTAAGCATAACTCTGAGGAAGGGCTCTAGGATGGAATGAATGCCATTTAAAAAATCTTTTATCATCATCCACTGAATATATATTAAGCACCCACAAGATTCTCGGCATTTTACCACAGGAGAGGACAGTTGCTGTCCTCATGGAATTCCTAATCAAGTTCAAACAAGGCAAACACTGACAATATGGGTATGAACTTTAACTGAGTCCATTATCAGCCAATCAAAAACCTTTCTATAATGTGAAACAATTGAGACCTCCAAATCTGTTCTTTAGAATCTCCTGGGTCGTTTCAAGCAGGATTAAGCCTGCAGATAAAAAGAAAGTGACAGGTCAAATAACTTGTTGAGAAACAGAAAACTAACCAAGCTTTCCAATTACCTTGTCTGAAAGGCAATTGTTATTATTTTTTTAATGTTTTATTTATTTCTGAGAGAGCGAGAGAGAGGCAGCGTGAGCAGGGGAGGGTCGGAGAGAGAGGGAGACACAGAATCAGAAGCAGGCTCCAAGCTAGCTGTCAGCACAGAGCCCGACGTGGGTCTCGAACCCACGAACCATGAGATCAAGACCTGAGCCTAAGTCAGACGCTTAGCCGACTGAACTACCCAGACACCCCATGAAAGGCAATTGTTAAGGCCACTCAAAGGTCTTGGTTAGCTCTGCTTTCGTACAAGGAAATTCCTTTCCTGATCATTGAAGCCCCTTAAGTTATAGGTAGATTTTATTTTATTTTATTTTATTTGTTTATTTATTTATTTTGAGAGAGAAAGAGAGAGAGTGCAGGAGGGGCAGAGAGAGAAGGGAGAGACAGTATCCCAAGCAGGCTCTGCACTGTCAGCGCAGAGCCCTATGCGGGACTTGGGCTCACAAACCATGAGATCATGACCTGAGCTGACATTGGACGCTTAACCAACTGAGCCACCCGGGCGTCCCAGTAGCTTTTAAATTTCAGTTTAGTTTTTGCTGGGCTGGGGGCGGTGGTGTGGTTGAGGGACACGGCCAGAAGGGAAGAGGTTTCCTATGTTTTAACCAACACGTTCTCTTCACACCTTAGTTGGGGCTCCCTATTTTTAAAGCCCTTTCAGGAAAGGGGGAAAGGCAAGGCAACTCCTCTGGTGGCCTTGCTGCCATTAATGCTGGTGCAAAAGACATCGTATTGTGTTTTCCAATTTACTGAGTGGTAACCAGCAATCATCTGATATCAAGAGTACAGCTGCTGCCACTGTGATCCGTATTTCAAATATATGTCTCATTTTAGTCTTTGTCAATGGAGCTCCTGAAAGGTAAATAGATCCTAAATTTTCAGGAAGTACTTTGTCCTAGTTTCTAAAAACATGTTTTGTTTTGTTTTTTGTTTTTTGGGTTTTTTTGCTACTGTATTTTGGGGGAGGATGACTCAGGAGAATGGTCATTAGTCTGCTAACTAGTTTTGTTAAATGTGCGAACTCATTTTGTTCAGTGCTCAGTTCCAGGAAAATACTACCTTCCACTTTAGTTTCCTTTATAACAGTGTACTCCTATTTCCTGGGAAATGTCTTTATATTAAACGATGAAACTCATACTTTCAAGTCCTAATTTAAAAAACCCAAGAACGCAGTGAATTCTCACATCATTTCTTCACAATACAAAATCTGGAAGAGCCTAAGGAATTTCATGCGAATTTCTTATTTCCATGCGAAAATACAACTGTGTTACACCACTTTGGTATTTTACTATGTGGCTTTACTTTATTGAGGAGAATGTAGACTAGATGAGGGATGGAGAGATAGTGACATTCTTTTTAAAAAAAATTTTTTTTAATGTTTTATTTATTTCTGAGAGACACAGCATGAGCAGGGGAGGGTCAGAGAGAGAGACACACACAGAATTGGAAGCAGACTCCAGGCTCTGAGCTAGCTGTCAGCACAGAGCCTGATGCGGGGCTCAAACCCACAAACCATGAGATCATGACTTGAGCGGAAGTTGGACGCTTAACCGACTGAGCCACCCAGGCGCCCCTAGAGATGGTGACAGTCTTGTCTGATTTCATGTTAAAGAAGATTAGATATAGTTAGATTTGTTTTCATTCCGGAATATCCTGACATTTTCAGCAAGATTTTTGTAGCAAGGAGCACAGGGATTCCGACTGAAAGGTAAATAGGTGCAAATTCAAGTTTTGGGGAATGGATGCAATATTACCCCCCCCACACAATATGTATAAATAAATCTCTCCCTCAAAAAAAGCATATATATAAATATTATCATATATACATACATAAATATTTGTTTGTTTGTTTATTTTTGAGGGAGAGAATCCCAAGCAGTCTCCACACTGTCAGTGAGATCACCAACAGTGAGATCATGATCTGAGCTTAACTCACTGAGCTACTCAGGACCCCATCCCATATATATATATATATATATTTAAGAAAATTAAGGTAGTGAATGGCCTTAATTGTTGAAGAAAAAAGCCACTATTCTGGGTCCTTAGTTGGATACTATCAATAATCATCCTAAAGGGAAATGTTTTGCACTACAAACACCCATTCTGTTTCTTCATTCATCGTGGTACTCAGAAGTGTATTACCAGAGGGTTTTAAAAAATTACAACTCATTCATGTATTTATTCATTAAACAATTATTGAACACCTATGTGCCAGACACCAGAACCCCGTGAGGAGGAAATGCTACGTAAATAAAAATAATAAATTAAGAATGCAAGTATTAATCTGTTCATCTTTCAAGATCCAGCTCAAATGGGAATGTTTAGTTTGCTGTTTCCTTCTCTGTGTTCCGTACCTTGCACAAATACTTTTGCCGACGTCTGTGTAGCCATCTACTGAGCTCTTTGGAGAGGGAGACCTTGGCTTACTCATTTTTGTATTCCATCGAACCTAACATGGGATTTGGTATGGCTCAAACAGGTGGGCAGCAAACGATAGCTGAAACGAAGGAAATAAGGTAGTACTGCTTCATTTCGTATTCAGTTACGAAGACAGTCTGGGGTCCGAACGCCAGATTTATTTCCTAAAAATAGTTACTGTGATGTCGTTATCAACCTGCTATCCTAGAACCTGAATCATCCTGAGTCGGTCCATTTGATTTTATTGTATTTATTCCGATTATATTTCAAGGTGGCTTAGCGTGTAAGCAACGGGCTGAGCGAGCGGTTTCCCAACTCACAAACTCTTGCAGTCTCTAAAAGTTTCTCTCCGCCCCGGAGGCTGGCGCCGAATTCCGGCGAAAGCGACCCGCTTCCCTCCCACCGCACGCGGGTGCCGGTCTGACCCCATCTTTCCCTTCCTTTTTTCCCACCCTTTCGCCCTCCGGAAAGGGCCGAACGCTCCCAGAGCTTCCCAGTCTCACTCCGCCCCCTGCGGAAGGAGCCGAAGGCAGAGCGGGACGCCGACGCGCGGCCTCCGAGAGCTCGGGCCCTTCCGGAAAGGCCCGAACGGCGTTCGGAGGAGGAGGGCGCCGAAGTCGAAGGCGCCCCCGCGCTGTGCCCTCTGTCGGCGGCGTGGGGCAGCTGTAGCAGCGGTGGCGGCAGCCGCGTCGACGTCGACCAAGACTGGAGCGACGTTTGAAGAAGCAGCTGAATCGCCACGGAGTCCGGCTTCTGGTGGTTGGAGGGGGTCCCACCCGTCCGCGCGGCCCGACGAGGAGAAGCGGCGGCGCCGGGAAGCAGGTGAGGACCCGGCCCGGCGCGGGGGGAGGCGAGGGAGCGCGCCCGCTGCCTCCGTCGCCGGGCCGCGCCTGCGTTTGCATTCTCCTCACTTGAACCAGGAAGCGGCGGAGTCGGAGGCTCCGCTCCTCCGGCCCTTTCTTTGTGTGGGCCCGGGAGCGAAGGAGGGGACGAGCCCGGAGGGCCGCGGCGCGGTCCCCTCCGCCGTCAGGGGCCGGGGGGCTGCCGGTTCCCCGGGTAGGCCCGGCGCGTGGGGAGCCCGCCGCGGGGACCCACTCGGCTTTTCCCTTGCCCTCCGCCTGGCTTTTTGTGCCTCCTTGTCTCCCCGGAGCCCCTTACTTTGATTTAGAGCTCTCTGCCCGGCCCATCCTCCCTTTCCGTCCCCTTCCTGGGGCATAACAATGCCGCCCGCTTGGCCTCACCCCCTCCCAACACCCCACCCTCTCGGTCGCCACCTTCCACTTTTCCCGGCTCGCCGGGGGGGACCCCTGCCCTCGCGCCGCCGGTCGCAGCTGCTTCTGGATTTCCGGGACGCTGCCTTTTCGCGTGAATTGGGGTGAAAAACGTCGGTCGCGGCCGGCGGGGCGCAAATGGGGAAGAGGGGGTGGAGTAAGGAAGATGGGGTTCAGCTGCCGCAGGGAGCCGCGTGTCGCCCTGACTCCCTCGCGGATGGCGTTTCTCGCTTCCACCTTCACCTGCCCTCAGTCAAGGGTTCGCCTCACGGTGACGCGCAATGGCTTTTCCCTGGGCAGCTCGCGGGGAGGAGGGCTCGGGGTGATCTGTGCGGTTCCTGGGCCCACCCTGACCCGGGAGGAGCCGGGGGTGGGGGGTGGGGGGAGAATCCGCACAAAATGAAACCAGCCCCCAGTGTCACCTGGACACGTACGTTCGAGACATCACCCCGTTCCCGGAACCCGTTTGCAAACGACAAAAATCGGATTCCGAAAAAACCTGTCCACCCACTTAACGGCGACTTCTGTCGAAATCCCCATATTTCGGAAGCCCTGGTCACTGGCTCGCTGTCCAAAGGTCACCCTCTCTGATGAATGCCTTTATGGTCACCTGGAGATCCTTGGCACTGTTAAAACGAGCAGCACCTTATAACGGATGGTGTTTGAAGCCCTCATTTCTAGACTTTCTGCCTACTTTTTGTTTTTAAGCTGCAATTTTGAGAATTTGGAAGATGCTTGAGATGCCCTGCCTTCCACGTGTATATAACTTAAGCACTGCGATGACAGTGGTGCCGATTTGGTAACTTGAAAGGGAAAGAGTATTAGCAATAAAAGTGTGTGTGTTTTTTTTAACCTAAAGTACTGATCAGCTAATTGTTTACATATATAATATATATGAAAGGTAAGTGTATAAAAACTAAATAATATATTTAATATAGTTATGCATTTTAAACAACTCCACATCCTTGTTACTGGCAATATATTCTGGAAGGTGCAGAACAAGAATGTTTGGGGGGGGTGGTACACGGCATCGCTCCTCCCTGACACCATGCTCCCTTCTTCTAGAGTAACCATCTGCTCTGTTCCAATAAGTATATGTTTTCACTGTCACTAACACATCAAGTATAAGAAAGTTCTCATGCCACCGCGCATAATTCTTTACCAACAAATTGAAATGTTTTGTGTTTTCATGCAAATAAGCATTGAGAAATGGTGACTTCTCCTTTGTCTTATTTTTTCACAGTAGCATCTGTGCCTTCACTTGGAACTCTTTATACCCGTCACCCCTGGAGATTATAAGAGTAGAGAGGTGAGGGGAAGGGGTGAGGAGGACGAGGAGAGGGGAGAAGTTTTAAAAAAAAAGCGTTTTATAGTTCATCTAGATGAGGCACTCCAATTTAAATAAGAACAGGAAAATAACGGGCAGTCTAGGGGTAATGGATTGTCAGTGTTTGTAAGCACTAATTCGGTTTTTGGGCCGTGGGAGTAGCTTTTGAGTATGTCCTTAAGGGTGAGTTAAAATTTAGAAAGTATAGAATGGCTATTGCACACACCAAGCTTCTCTGACACTGAAATCATTCATTTACAGGTGAAATAACTTCTATGTGATCACGACGAAGACTTTTCGTAAAGTTTTAAGACCGTTAAAAGTGAACCTTTAACTCTTCTTGAGGACAAAACCCAAAAATGGAACCAAGAAAATTCATTCTAATCTTAAGAGATTCTCAGTGGTGATGCATGGATCTGAGATTCAGAGGAAGAGATGTTACTGTTCAGATCTGCAGATCAGTTAAAAACTTGCTTGTCTCTTCTCAGGGGGAAGTCACGAGGCTTGGTGCATGGTCCAGAAACCAGCCTGCGTGAACAATTTCTGTACAAGCCAAAGAGTTATGCCAACCTTCGGTTAAAACGTGGTGCCATGCGATGCCATGCCCTAGCTTACATTCTGAATGATACACAGTACTTTTGTTTTTCATTTCTAATCTTCTTCCACCCCCTCCTCCTCCCTTTCTCTTATAGGCATGGAGAGTAGAAAACTGATTTCGGCTACAGACATTCAATACTCTGGCAGTCTGCTGAACTCCCTGAATGAGCAGCGTGGCCGTGGACTCTTCTGTGATGTTACCGTCATTGTGGAAGACCGAAAATTCCGGGCTCACAGGAATATTCTCTCAGCTTCTAGTACTTACTTCCATCAGCTCTTCTCGGTGGCTGGGCAAGTTGTTGAACTGAGCTTTATAAGAGCAGAGATCTTTGCAGAAATTCTCAATTATATCTATAGTTCTAAAATTGTTCGTGTTAGATCAGATTTACTTGATGAGTTGATTAAATCAGGGCAGTTGTTAGGGGTTAAATTTATAGCCGAGCTTGGTGTCCCATTATCACAGGTTAAAAGCATCTCAGGTACGGCTCAGGATGGTAACGCAGAGACCTTACCTCCTGGTTCTAGTGACAAGAACCTTGAAGTACCAAAATCAAAAGATGAAGCCCAAGATAACGGGGCCACTATAATGCCTATTATAACAGAGTCTTTTTCCTTGTCTGCTGAAGATTATGAGACAAAAAAGATTATTGTTACCGATTCAGATGATGATGATGATGATGTCATTTTCTGCTCTGAGATTCTGCCTGCAAAGGAGACTTTGCCAAGTGCCAATGCAGTGACACAGGTCCAGCCTAACCCAGGTTCCATTGCTATTTCAGATGTCGCACCTGGTGCTAGTACTAACTCTCCCCCTTTACCAAATATCACACCTGCTCAGAAACTTCCTACTGCTGTGAATCAGGCAACTCTGAGCCAGACACAAGGAAGTGAAAAACTGCTGGTATCTTCAGCCCCGACACATCTGACTCCCAACATTATTCTGTTAAATCAGACACCACTTACTACACCACCAAATGTCAGTTCTTCACTTCCAAATCACATGTCTCCTTCAATCAATTTACTTGTGCAGAATCCGCAGACACCAAACAGTACTATTTTAACAGGAAGCAAGGCCAATGAAGAGGAGGAGGAGGAAATTCTAGATGATGATGATGACACTATTAGCTCCAGCCCAGATTCGGCCGTCAGTAACACATCTTTGGTCCCACAGGCTGAGATACCCCAAAATGCCACTTTTGATGGATCATTGATACAGAAGATGCAGATTCCTACACTTCTGCAAGAGCCACTGTCTAATTCTTTAAAGATTTCAGACATAATTACTAGAAACACTAATGATGCAGGTTTAGGATCAAAGCATCTAATGGAGGGTCAGAAGATCATTACTTTAGATACAGCTACTGAGATTGAAGGCTTGTCAACGGGTTGCAAGGTTTATGCAAATATTGGTGAAGATACTTATGACATAGTGATCCCAGTCAAAGATGACCCCGATGAAGGGGAGGCCAGACTTGAGAATGAGATACCAAAAACCTCTAGCAGTGAGACGGCAAACAAGCGTATGAAAGTAAAACACGATGATCACTATGAGCTGATAGTAGATGGGAGGGTCTATTATATCTGTATCGTGTGCAAGAGGTCCTATGTCTGTCTGACAAGCTTGCGGAGACATTTTAACATTCATTCTTGGGAGAAGAAGTATCCCTGCCGTTACTGTGAGAAGGTATTTCCTCTGGCAGAATATCGCACAAAACATGAAATCCATCACACGGGAGAGCGAAGGTATCAGTGTTTGGCCTGTGGCAAGTCTTTCATCAACTATCAGTTTATGTCTTCGCACATAAAGTCAGTTCATAGTCAGGACCCTTCTGGGGACGCAAAGCTTTATCGGTTACATCCCTGCAGGTCCTTGCAGATCAGACAGTATGCGTACCTTTCTGATAGGTCAGGCGCCATGCCTGTGATGAAGGATGATGCTATTGGGTATAAGGTTGATGATGGGAAAGAACCTGCTGTAGGGGCCACGTCTACTCCTCAGAACAAGCCAATGACCTGGGAAGATATTTTTATTCAGCAGGAAAATGATTCCATTTTTAAACAGAACGTAACAGATGGCAGCACTGAGTTTGAATTTATAATACCTGAATCTTACTGAACTTGGGAATGTCAGAAACTCTGGTTTGCATTAAGGGGCAAGGGTTTCGGAAAACCTGTGACACAAATTAAGGTGAAAACGAGTTAATTCGCTCTGCCACACCATCTGAAGGCAGTCTACTTGGATTATTTGTTGATAAATTTTAGAAGCAAATCGTTCCAAAAGTTTGAGTAGAGATTGAGAAGTTCCTCCCCCCACCCCCGTATCTGTTTATATAGTTCACTTTTCAGCTTATTTTAAAGCAAACAGCAAAGGCTTGGAGAGATAGTTTCCTGAATAGAAGTTTGAAGCAGTCTGAATGTTCTTTGAAAATAACTGGAGTTATTAGCTTACCCTAGTATACCTTCCAACTTTCCCCTTCCATGTTAGCACTTTAACTGCTGAATTTTCAATTTTGTTAATATTGAGACTATAAATGCGTGTTGTGTTTTGGATATGGCATAAGAAGTAAACAAGAACTTCTAAGTTGTTCTGGCAAATTTCAGAGTAAGTCTCTGCTTGGTTGTGTGTTTTGCTAGTCCAAATGGATAGCAACCTCCTGCCTCCCTCCCGCCATGAAAATGGCCATGCAGACAAGCGTCTCCTCTGAATAAAGAGTTTTAGTTCATTAGAGTTAAGTTGTAAGTTTCGCTTTTCTTGCCATTGTCTGGAAAGGACTTTGGTGGCTGGACTACTGTGTATATACCCTTGCAGTGTGGTCTCTGTGGGCGGACGTGTTCATGGAAAACAAATCCCTGTATTGCAGACCAGAGGAGAGGAAAAGTTCTTTTGGTTTGTTCTGAATTCTGTGTTCTTACATGATAGAGAGTGGAAGTGAATGGCGATGTCCTTTTTGTTCCTTTGGTTAAAAGATACTCCCTTGAGAAATCTCAAAGTTTGAATCTGAAAGCCACCAAATAAATCTTTCATTATGTGTAAATCTTTATAAATGATAGATTCCATAAATGAGACTCCTACATATTTTAGGCGGGAGGCTACTGGTATATATTTTTAAATGTCCATATTACTTAGAATTTATAATAGGAAGTTTTCGTTTGAAATAGTTGAATCCGTGATCTAGTATTTTCCTTTCGGCAAGACCTTTTAGGTTGTTATCCCTTCTAAAGTTGAGTTCCATTCCATCTGCAAAGTGCTGCAATGTTATAGCAATCAGAAAATATATATGGAATGTTCTGGAGGCTTGTTGATTCCCATTTCTCTTGAGAATAAGTATACCTTTCTTCCTTTTAAAATGATACCTATTTAAACACTTAGAAAATAAAGTCAAAACTCACTGAAGTGCTAGTACTAAAAGGAAGCAGGTTGGAACAAATGTATAGCCTAGCCTTTGTAACAGGATTAACTTGTTGAACTTCTGTAAATTACTTTTTGCAAGGGAAAAAAGATTAATAGATACTAAAAAAGATTGTTGTGCATAGTTGTTAGTCATTTGTAACCTTGCTTAAATATTTCCTAATTCAGCATAGATATTTTCTTCTCTTTAACCGCGTATTTTTAAAAATAGTCTATTTCTTGACTCGGAACTTAAAGCTTTAATCATAATTTCTCACGTATACATCATTCTTCTGACAGCAAGCTAGATTTGAAGATCATGGTTTCAGTGATTCGATTTGTAGTGGAGGGTATCAGGCCTCCGTATTTGCAATAACACAAGAAGAAAGAAACATATTATCCTGGTTTGCTTACTGAGGGCTAGAGTGAGGTGCATCTGACTGTTTCCTGTTCTGTGAGTCTAGACCTTCAAACCATTTTGTAAACTAATCCTTGGAAGATTTTAAGTTACCTTACAATTTAAGACTCTGTGATCTCCGGAATCACAATATCTGTTTCATTTATGTGTGGATATTGACAACATTACTCTTGGACCATACGGTGCACTCAAGTATTTTCAGTGGAAATATGTTTCAGTTTCATTAATGTTGTTTTTACCAGTTAGACGTAATTACTTCAACAAAGTGTGAATGATATCGATGCCAGCAGAACTTCCAGACCTTTCAGACTTAACTGCTAAGAAAATTAGTTGATCATGATAAAACTTGAGGGTTTTTACAAGGCTGTTGTGACAAACCAGTTCTGTGATGGAAAGCTATCCATTTTGAGTAATACGGATCTAACTATTTGCTGCTGCTGTGCTCTATGTTAATTCTGAGTATAAAACTCTGTGCCTAATGAAGGTGTCTTCTAGAGTTTTTTGGGGAGAAGGAAAACTGGAAAATTAACTTGTATTTTTGCCAGAAGATTCTTCCTCGCGATGTATGTCAGGGTCTTCAAGAAGTTTCTATATCCAAAGTTCAGGATGCGTGTGGAATACTCCTTTGGGGCTGAAACCATTCACCCCTGGGATTCATTGGGTTGGAAATCTGTAGCAAGATTCTGTTGAAAACTTAACGTGGTGTTTTCCTATTTTATATTTAGTTTTCTGGCTATTAAATTCCTCCTTTTTTTCTTTTAAGTTGGCTTCAAGCTTGCTCCTGGGCTAAATTACCTGTGAATGTTCTGGATAGAAGCTGTTTGAAATAGCAGTTTGTTAAAAGAGATGATAGAAAATGAAATGCTCAAACTAAGCAAAGATTTTTAAATGCCATAAGAATCTTGCAGGATTTACTTTAAAATGTATTTGAAATGATCATTATCATTTCAGTGGTAATGATCCCCCCCCCCACCCATACAGCTACTGTGAGGAATTGATGTTGTGTTTTTTCCATTGTACCGAAAAGATAAATGGTTAAAAACGGTCAAGGTATTTTGTATCGTCAAGGCATGCATATTCTAAAGGATTAAATGTTCATTCAACAGCACTGGCTTCCTCACCTGTCAATCCTATGAATCCACCCCATACTGTAATGTTCATACCTGTACAATCTTAATCTTCCCTGTCCTATGACTTTAAGTTCTCTTCATTAACCATGACCTGGTATTAGTTCATAGAGCTTCTTATGGCAAAAATAAAATGCTATAATTCTGATTTTTTGAGTGTATTTGTTACGAGATTGTCTTTCAGAAATTATGTAGACTTGGGGCGCCTGGCTGGCTCAGTCGGTAGAGCACGCCAGGGGTCTGGAGTTCAAGCCCCACACTGGCCATAGAGCTTACTTAAAAAAAGAAATTCTATAGACTTTTCTGTCGTTTTTCAGGTTTTATAGGAGGAGATTGGGGGTATTTCTGATGACAGCATAACAGTACTTCCTGCTAGGCTTGTGAGAGTGCTGACAGTACGGACTCCATCTTTGGCTCTCCGTCTTATTCATGTCTGTGCGATGACCTTCCTTGGGTCTACACGTTCCAGGCCCCTTGGAGGTTACTGTTGGTCCTGAATACGGGGAGGCTTGTCTTGATCTTTCCTCGACTTGCTTAAACACCCAGTAGAGCTAACGGTGTCTTCCCTTCCCCTGTGGTGCACAGACAGCACCACGTCAGATAAAACTACACTTTGACCTCACCACCACACTCTAAAATCTGTGGCTTAAGACCCGCACTTGGTGGAGAGTAGTCGCATAGCACCCGACTTGTTGTCCGCTCCGTCGCCCCCACCCCAGCCAGTAAGTTACCCTGACTAGAACTCTGGAAGCCGTATGGAGTGGCTTGCTGCTTCCTGGTTTGGTCTCAACAGGCCTTCTCAGTCCGGACGAGGCTTTTCTGCCCCTCCTCTGCCTTCTAACAGGTTTCACATGTGGGTTAATTGCATCCCTGTTGCATCTTGTGTCACTATCGTCCAAAGTGAGCAGGCTGTGGTCTGTCCCTGGCTTTGGGGTGTTTGTGATACTTTCGTGCGTTGCATGAAGACGCCCGTAAGTGAATAAGGAGGAGGACGGTTTTATTAATTTGAAACATCACAAAAGCAGTCTGGGTCTCCAACATGGCAGTGATACAGATCTCAAGCAACATCCAGTGTATACAGGTTCTGGATTAATATTTTAATGTGTCATGCCCAGTTCAATACTTGAAAGCAGAATTAGGAATAAAGCAGTAAATACTACAAAATGCAGTCAAGGTACATATTGGAAATAGAAATTCCTTCATTACAGCAAATGTTTTGCAAAAGAGTAAAGCAACAAATACTAACTTCTCTAAGTAACATGCACTTTATAGAATTCAATGTAATAAAAAAAGAAGCTGCTCAAATTAAGGGTTACAAAATCTATTCTGTTTCAAGTTATTTTGTAAAGTAAGAAAAATACATAGAAATGAGTCAGAGTCTTAACACTTTAAGAAATGTGATAAATGTAGGATATACTGCGTAATGGTGCCTTTTAAAAAATTAAATACTCCTACACGTTCGCTAAAGCAAAAGGTAAAGTGTAAATGGCAAAAAAAAAATGTCACTGAGTATTACAAGGTGGTATTTGTATAGTAAGTCAATTGGCTATTAGTCCCTTTTTGGAAACCCAATAGAATTTAATATGCTCAGAAGTGTAGAAAATAATGGTAATTCTGTGTAACACAAAAGGATTGTTCTCGTTTTCCCAATTTTGAACTCTGGGTGAGGCCTCACTCGTGGTGCTGGATGTTAGAATGCTTTGCAAACACTGTGAACAGTGAGTGCACTTGTCACGCGCCTTGATAATTCTCGATGGCCGGGTGTCTACAAGGCAGATGGGAGCACCAGCATTTGCCTGCTACCTCGAGTCCATCAAGTCGGGAGGTAGCGAAATTGGCTGGAAGGTTTTCCAGCATGTGTTCTGCATTTGCAGAACTGTCTAATTAGGTACCCTCCTGCAGCCCCTGTAGTTTTACATTACACAGTGTAGGATTATCAGCCTTCCTTTAAATCATTCCTCAGGTTAGCATTAAGATCGCAGTGAAAGTGTTCATTCTGAAGATGAAGGCATGGGTGCCAGAGTGTTAAATTCGTCAGGTTGATGGTTTAAAGCTATGTGTAATTAAAAGAACTGTACGAACATCTACCACAGTGTGCCAGATTTTAAATCTACGGTAACACTTAAGAATTTGTCAGGTTGGCGACTTCTGAGGTTTTGCAGACTTAAAGCGGCATTGTAACACTTTCATAATCTTGAACACTGTCGTGATTGGTCTCCACACACAAAAAGGACCAATAAGAGCAGTGGCATTAAAATACAGATGATTCTTGTGGGGTGGGGTGCGGGATACGTGCGGTCTGCCGGGATTGAAGCACAATACTTGGAGATTAAATAGTCACAAAGATAACAATTCCTGTCAGCACCCAGGAACCTAATCTGGCATTTTTAACGTCAGATTCCTATCTCCCGTAGCAAATGCCTTTTGTAATGCCACGTCCTTCAGTAGAGCCGCTGTCTCCTACGTTACCGGATGTAGAACTGAGACCTACTCACAACACTTCCCATGTTGCTCTTTGTATTTCAGTGCTTCCTAAACAATCAGTCCTGTTCCCCACTACTCGAGGGAATATTGCACTTTTCCCTTTGGGAGGTACTGATAACAAAAGCTTGAGCTGAATGATCACAACAGCCATTTTTACAATACTCACAGAGAAGGAAAGGAGTACAAGACACGGGCAGCGTTTTTCGACATCCAGACAAAAGCAAACAAAATCTTAGCCAGAAGGCTCTGTGTTGGAACTACCATGTAGCTTCATCATCTGGGAACTTTTCCTTAGGGACCCACATTGGTGGTAGGGAAAGATAGGGCCCGTAAGCCAGGTGCTGCAGCCAAGGTGCTGGGGTGGCAATCTACGAGAGTTTGAGGGAGCCCCTGCGTTTACACAGAGTGAAACAGGTGGCGACCGCGCTTCTGCCGGACACAGACGGGAAGCCGCAGGGAGATGCAGGGCCACACGTCTTGCTGGGGTGGCGCTGCAGCCTTGCTTAGGGAGCGTGTGCTGCCCTTCTCGGGAGCACTGGGTTCAGCCTAGCCACCCTGCTCTGCACCGATAACACATAAGCTTCATCCCTATCTTCCCCTAGCTTGGCAAGCCTTTGTAAAACTGTATGCATAAGAATTGCACTTTACACGTTGCACCCTACACACTTCCACTAAAGCAGAAATACAAAAGCCACAATAATCTCAAGAGCCAGCGGACATTCCGCTTTAGGGGCTATAAGGTGGGGGTTTCTCAAAAGGCGGGTAATAGGGCGGAGAGTAGCGGGGCGGGGCGCTCGAGGACCACATGTAGCTGGGCGAAGGCGAGGCAGACTGGGGCTCATCGGAGAGTCCAGAGGGCGGGGAGGGCGGAAAGACACCGGAATGCTGTGTGATGACAACAGAATGTCAGGTTAGGCAGCCAGGTGGCAAGTTCTCCAAAGTCCATGTTATTTAAAGATGCATTGGGACCAAGTCTGCTTCTGTTTGGAATAACAGAGTGCTCCTCCACCTCACTAAGTTAACGAGGGGCAGGAGCTGGTGCCACTTTCTCCCAGTCGTTCCGGCTACAGAGCGCCCGCACAGAGAGCATAGGATCCTCCCCCACCCCCCGCCCCTAAACCCTGCATCCAGTTACCGATTCTTGTTGCTCCTGCTTCTGCATCGTCTCTTCAACCCACCACTCCCTTTTCCACGTTTACAACCCAAGCCTTTGCTGCCCCTCCCTCGAGCTGTGGAATCCCAGCTAGTCTTCAAAAAAAGATCCTCTGGGCCTAACAACATCTGAGGCGGGGCGCCTGGGTGGCTCAGTCGGTTAAACGCCCGACTCCTGATTTCAGCTTAGGTCATGATCTCAATTCGAGCCCCACATCAGGCTCCGCAATAACAATGTGGAGCCTGTTTGGGATTCTCTCTCTCCCTCTCCCTCTGCCCCTCCCATGCTCTCTTGCTCTCTCAAAAAAATAAAGCCCTCCCCCCAAAAAAAAGAACATCTGAACAGAGGTTAAGCCAGTAATACCTGGGAAAGTCTTTGCTACCAGAATATATCACAGAGCCCACCTCATAGACCAAAACACAAAACAGAAACTAAGGTCAGAGAGGTTAAATGGCTTTCTTGGATCTGAGCTCTTCTAAGTCCAGCAATTTCTGTTTCATCTTAACCGCGGCCCACCACTCCCAAATTCAGGGGAGGGCAGAGGAACACAGACATGGAGGTGAGACTACCAATGGTCAGAACAAGGAGCGATTTGTCAGGTTGCAGAGACACTGAAGATTCCATTGGACTTTGTGTTGTCTTTGGGAAGAGAGAGGATATAGACTAAAAAAACAACAACAACAGTGAATTAACACATGAGGAGTCATTTGCTACTTTTCTTTCCCTGGGCCATGTCTATAGACCCCTGACCCTAATGGTTTTCCTGCTCAAGGACAGTTGGCCTGTTTTGTTCATTGCTGTTTCCTCCAGAGCTCAGAACAGTGCTTGGCAATAGCAGGTGCTCAATAAATGTTGAATGAGCGGCTGTAACCTCAGGAGTACAAAAGATGAACTTGGCATGTGTTTCAAAAATAAAGTCCATCTTCAAAGAGTACAGTCACATCTGGTAGGTACCGCCGCCATGCTCCAGCGGCAGGACACGGCTGCGGCGTGAAGGCTGGAGGGGCTGTGGGTGTGGCAGGAGGCCAGACGCCACTTTCAGGCTCTCAGGAAGAGTACACATAATAAGCCACCAACCTAGGCTGGAGAACTGCAATTTTCGGGTGTGCCTTAGCTCTAGGAGGAACTGGTATATTAAAAACAAACAAACAAAAAGACCTACTACACCAAAATTTCTCGAGTTCAAGTGCTGTTTGGGGTGGTCATTCCTTTACTTCATTCACTGGCCATAGTCTAAGTGGATCATGTCATTTTTCCAGGCCTGAGGCAATCTAGAGTCAACCTTGACATGAAATTTCTTTTTATTTATTTATTTAAAAAATTGTGTTAATGTTTATTCATTTTTGACAGCATGAGTGGGGGGGGGGCAGAGAGTGAGGGAGACACAGAATCTGAAGCAGGCTCCAGGCTTGGAGCTGTCAGCACAGGGCCTGATACGGGGCTTGAACTCACGAACTACGAGATGAGCTGAAGTTGGATGCTCATCTGACCAAGCCAGCCAGGCGCCCCTC